AGATCCAAGGTATATATATGTGCATGGGTATCGAAGCTTCGGCCAAAAAGCGGTTCAAAACAAATCGCCAGCGACATCGACCTGGAGGGTCACGTGAAGGATGCGATTGAAGCGCGACTAGGAGAGGTGGGGACAAACATTATTAAAATTAATTAGTTTGTGACTAGAAGTATAACCAGTAGTATTTTGAAACAAGCTAAATATAAATATTAGATAATATCAATCATATTTAACACGCTACAAAATTCAAAACTGTCTTTGTTTTTGCTAATATTATGCACACTTCTTATTAGCGTCCTCTGTACGCCACTAGCAAAAAGGCCGACTAGCAATAGCGATATTTGCAGTTTTTTGTAGACCTCGTGGCGCGCGGAAAGGAAGGCTGCTGACGTCCGTCTGCTCGCTTGTGTTTGGGCCTCCACGTGCTCTTCGCTTTTCTTTTCGCAGCGGTTAACACCGTTTGGGGAGTTTTGTTTTTTGCTCGGGCGTGATTAGCCCAGTTACCTGCGCGGGAACTCGGCTGTCGTGCGCTTGGATCTTGGACGCAACTGCGCCGAAGGGGCTCAACGTCTTTTGCGACGATGAGCACAGTGCGATCCGCAAAGAAACGGTGCTCCGTGGAAATCTGTGAAAGCGACATCCGCAAGGCTGGCATCTCGCTGCACCGGTTTCCCCTCGACTCTCGAAGGCGAGACTTCCCTACTGTCAGCGACATGCCTGCTGTGTGATGTGTATGCCCCCTTGTTCGGTCTTCTCTTAACTCCTGTTAGTTTTACCTAAAACTATTAGGGTTGTCTGGATGTGCACACGAAACTACACCTGAAGGCGTCATATGTTATACTAGGAATTTTGACTTCGCAGCGTTGTGTGCCGTCATTATAAAAGTGCCCACGATATTAAAATTTACCTGTACCGGCCTGGCTCTGAGGAGCCTAGTGTCGCTCGCGATTATCGGCGTGGTTATCAGTGGTACAACACAGATATATAATAGGCATCTGTGCGTAAGACTCGTGTTTTTACTCTTTATGACGTACACAGAACGTTGATGTCATGCATTTGTTAATGTCCTTGCTCTGATTTGCTTTGGTTTGTGGACATTTTGGCCATTTTTTTTTTTTCCGTAAGTATTCACGGCACCCTCATACCACCATGCCTTATCTGCAGGCGCGAAGCTTGGTTTCGGTTCTGCGACAACCGAAGTCTACAGGGGAAGACTCCATGGCAGCTACGAGGCAGGGTAGTTTGCTCCTTACATTTCGAGGAGTCAGCTTTCCTGCGTCCTGGACACCTCCGTCACAATGCGTTGCCAAGTGTGCTTCCCACAAAAAGTAAGCAGATCAATAAACCTTCCGTGCAGTTTGTGACTTAGCATAGTCACCACATGGGGTTGAAACATTGCTTTCGTGGGCTCATAACATTTTTATATTATTTGCAGACGACACATGGCGACATTTCCAGCAAAACCTCTCCAGGTTCAGCAGTTGTGCATAGTGAGCTTTTTCACTTTAACCAACATAAAGTGGCGGCAACTGCCAGCACCACTGCATTACATCATGGTCTTCATGACTTGAGCATTTTGCAAAAAAACTAGGTCAGATTAGCTGGGAAAAGCTGGTAGAGCATAAACAGAGGTATTGCTAAAAGTTCATTTCAGGCCCGTTTATAATGACATGTTTTACTTGAAGTGACATAATCAACGTCAATATCGGTCCACAGCGCATCTTTTGCCTTGCCGACACCCGTCTTCCATAATAAAGCTGCCCATGAAAGAAAGTGATTTACATTTTGTGTTAAAATAGGCGAATTCACCATAAATTTTCAGAAGTGAGTTCGACACCCTCATCGAGCTACACATGCTTCGGCAGTCCAGACTCACGGAGCTTCTGAGTCACCCTAAAGACCAGTCTTCCGAAATGAAACTTTTGTGGGAACAAGGTGATTTTCTTTGTCGTGTGTTAGAATAAACACATAGGAAGGAACTCAACTACTATTCCATGGATAACTTCACGCTAAATTTGCAGACAGGATTTCGCCAGCCTCATCGAGCTGCACGTACTCCGGCCACTCAGACTGGTGGAGTTCCTGTAGTCACCCTGACGACCAGTCTTCTGAATTAAGCCTGTCATGAACGAAGGTGAATATACTTTTTATGCGTTCAAAAAGAGAAATAAGGGAGGACTTCAACCTCTTCTCCTTTGCTAAGTACTTATTAAATTTGCAGAGCGGATTTCTGTGTCTTCATTGGATCACACATACTTGTGCACCTTACTAGAGAACAGTCGACTAGGAGCGCATAATAAGTGGTGGCCGAATATTGCTTGTGCTATCTTTTTATTCCCTTTTCTTTCTGAGCTTGCTTTCTTAAGTGGTAGAAACAGCGCAACTTGACGAAGGACAGGAAACAAGGAGTATACAGACAGGCGCTGTAAAAGTACACTGAGAGGCACTGTTTCTGCCAGTTTAAATAAACGACCAACTCGCCCAACTTTCCACTCTGTTGAAGTTGCTTTCTTACTTGCAGTTTTTGCAAAAGCCTTTCTTTCTTTCTTTTTTTTTTTTCTTTTTGAGCGGTTGATCACAGCTACGCTCTACGTCAAGATGCTGCTCCTGCTCAAGAGTCCAGCGGGGACGTGGCTGACATGGAGATTTTGGTTTCTTCACCGTCGCCTAGAGACTCTCTCTGGCTGTGCTGCTGGGCCTTCTCACAAATCCTAGTGCCTTCTATGATGCAAACTTTTTTCTTTTGCAATTTCTTTTTTTTTTAAGTTATAAAAGGTCAGGCCGCAAAAATAAAAAGCAAGGTTCGAAAAACACGAGGGGATACTAAACTTTATCTTGAGAGCAGATGACGCCAAGAGTCACATAACACCATACCGGCTAGCTGGCAGCTACAAATCGAAGTTTGTTCAAAGTTCACCACATTTTTGTTTCACGGTATTGTCATTGTCAAGCACACAAAAAGGCAAAAAAGTGTTCCGCACGCAGGTGTTAACACCGTCAAATCAAAACAGCTGAACCGGTTTCACTGAATCATAAGTCTTCCAGCAAAACTTCACGTAAGACAGTGTTTTTTAAAGTTATCGAAAAGCTGCCGTGGTCATATGTGTGTGATGCTGAGCCTGTCATGATTCCTTGTCCTATCTGCCAAACTTTAGTTGCCTGTTGTTGTGCGAGCGCTTCACTGTTACAGTGCCATGGGCATAAGTAACGTATGGTCAAGCTTTAAGAAAATGCATTTCACAGTTTGGATGCCTATTCTGACTTGCATTTTTTTGTGTGCACCCTTGTCTTTTTGGACTATCAGGTCTCTGGCCAGCATCTTGAATTGCATATGTATAGCTTCTCACACTTGCTGTTCTTGTTTAAAGACACTTCAAATCATTGAGGAATATTCTTGAGCGTGAAGAGCACATTTAATAAATTGATGGCGAATGCTAGTTTTTGTTGGAGACCTAATCTGGGTCATTTGCCAAATGGCAGCATCCTGCAAAAGCCGCAGCATCAGCAACAAGAAGGTGAACGCCCTGAGAGCCAAGGTGCGACAGCTTTAAGAGCGTAACAAAAGGCTGCAAAGAAGGCTGCAACGACAACGTCAGATGAGGACTGTTGCCGAAGTCGGTGAGAGGGTCCGCGTTCATGTGTCTCCTCCTGTTGTCGCACTCGTTGAAGCCCAGATTAGAAGGAGCAATGTGAGCCGGTTTGGCCAGAGATGGTGCAGCGACAACAAAGCCTTGCCTTTAGGCCTCTACTTTCATAGCCCCAAAGGCTATAAGTATTGCAGGCGACTGCCCAGGCTGCCATCAGTAAGGTCACTGCAGCTATGGCTTCAGAGTGTGCCACTGAAGGTTGGATTTTACCCTGTCATTTTCGAGCTGATAAAGAGGCGGGCAGTTTCTTTTTTTCGAGCCGATCGGGCCTGCAGCATAGTCTTTGATGAAATGCACATCAAAAAAGAGCTTTCATACAACCCCTCGTCTGACAGGTTTGAAGGAATTGAAGAACCTAGTGGACAGCAAGGCAAAAAGCTGGCAAATAAGCCTCTCACGTTCATGGCGAAAGGAGTCGGATCGCCGTAGAAGCAGCCGCTTAGCTATTTTTTATTTATTTTTTTATTTTTTTTTGCTAACAAAGGCACACCTTCAAGTGTACTAAAAGATATATTTTTCCCGTGCTACAGCGCCCTTGTGGACGCTAACCTGGAGCCGGTAGCTGTTGTATGTGATGAAGGGTGCCAGAACGTGTCTCTTTTTCAAGCATCGTAACTGCCGAAAAGCATTACCTAGAGATCAATGGCAAGCCACTTTTTTTTTTTTTTTTCCTTTTCGATGCTCCGCACCTTTTGAAGTGACTCAGGAACATACTATTCAAATAAGACTAAAAAGTTGGTGATTACATAGTGAAAAGTTCCTACATCAAGGAAGCTTATGAAAAGGACCGTAAACTTGAGATTCGTTCTATGCCAAAGCTGAAGGAGAAGCATTTTAATTTGACCTTCTCGTCAAAGATGTCGGTGAAGCTACCAGCTGTTTAGCAATCACTGCGCAGCTGCAATATATGCCCTTGTTACTTTTCAGCAATTGCCAGCCGAAGCTGTTCACACAGCGAGATTCGTTGAAAGAATCGACCGTCTCTTTGACAACCTAAATAGCTCGCAGAAATCTGCAAAGACGCCATATGCCTCTGCAATGTGTAACGGCTCTATCCATGAGGAGTTTCTGAAAGAGTGCATTCTGGTTTTTAAAAGCCTGCAAGTACTCGGGTGTAGAAGGCAGCCGCACTGCATTCGTGGCTTCTTCTTGACAGTTAGGTCACTGCTGCTGCTCAGCAATCACCTCGCGGTGATTGCTGAGCAGCAATCTTCAGAGCTTCAAAGGGTGGGTTGCTGCTCAGCAACCCACCCTTTGAACCGCCATTTGAACCAGGACACCCTTGAAAACACTTTTGCTGTTATACGTTCAAAATCAGGTGCAAACACGAACTCCACTTTCCGTCAATTTCAGGCTGCGTTCACGCACCTTTCGATTAGCAACCTATTCAAGCTGTCGGAAAAATCAAACTGTGCTGACGACATCTCTCTCCTTGCTACGTTCCCAGCAGGCCTTTCGACACCTTCTCCTCCTCTTGCCTTAGGAAGCACAGTTTTTATTACCACGGCAGACGATTCGCCTTCAAACTACCCTTTGTCAATAGAAGAGAACAACATGGTTTATTTTGCAGGGTGGTTGGCATCGAAATTCCTCAAGGTTCATTCCTGTGTAGGAACATCCCAGAAATGTGAGCTGAGGACAGAAAATGCGTGTTTTTCTGAGGGAAATCAAGTGCTCTTGTATTTGAGTGTGAAAGGCACTGCCGACTCCCACTTTGGAATCCTCTCAGTTCCCTCTGCTTCTTTCAGATTATTTTTTGAAGCTTGTGAGGAAGTCTTCGAGACATGTACCAACAACCTAATTTCAAAGGAGAACGTAGGGCGAACTATTTGTGTCCTTTTTCACCAGAAGATTCCAAAGTCTATGACTCTATGTGACGAAAGTATTTATGATGATCTGTTTCCTCCGGTTGCCAGAATCATTCTGCACTGGTTCGCGCGGAAAAAAAAACTAAACTATTTGATACAGTAGCAAAGTAAAACTAGGAAGCAAGTGCACAGGCCACGTATGTGAGACCACCCAGAGTACTTTTTAAAGCAGTGCAGGCATGTTCTATTCGAGCCTTTCATTTTCTTCGGTTTCTTGAGGAGTAATGTAGTCTTCTAACTGATTCACATATATAGCGTCTGTGAAGCAACACTGGCTTATGAAGTGCAGCATACCACAGGGCTCAAAGACGGTTTACTCCACTTGGCTTCCTTGACCTGCACCAAACAATCGCTGCGTTGCAGTGTAGCAGCACCAGCAGAGGCACGTTAAAATTTTTTCAGCATTATGGTACAATGCCCAAGAGCTGCGTAGACAAGTGTAGCTTTTTTCTGTGTATTACTGTGGTGACCACAGTTCTCCTCGGAACACTGTGAAACCTCTGAGTTATTAGTGGCTGCCTGTAAACTGTCAATGTCCTCACAACATCCAGCCGATTGTACATTGTCTTATTATGTTATAATGTGCCTTATGTACCGATCTACTAGTTTTATTCCGCCATTACACTTTCAAAATAGTGAATACCGATTGTATGATTCTAGTGAGTAATCTGAGTGAATGATTGTAAGTGAATAAAATAAATAAAACGCGACTGTTGAAGCGACGTTGGACTTGCATTAGAGTTACTGCTGTGTATTTCATACGCCCAACACACTCCAGCAATGTGATTCACTCTTTTTTTGTGACATTACATCATTTGCTTTAAGGTTTCTCACATATTTCCAAGGGATCCTGAAGAAACAAAAAGCATAACACTGCGGTTGGAATTTAACCACAGTGCAAAGACACGTCGAAACGAAACTACTCCCATAGCAGGTCGGCTAACAAAGTCGGCTGCAGAAAAAAAAACATTTCGAACAAAAGATAAGAGCAAGGGCAAATAAGGGCGTAAACGATCCAGTATTGCAGTACAGAGTAAACACAAGGTGTAAACACCCCAAGAAAAACCCGAGACTGCAGGTAAAAAGAACGACATATTGTCACGAGTGGTGAGTCGTGACCAATAAACAAGAAATAAACAGAAATAAATAAACGTTTAATCTGGCGAACTTGTGCCAAAAATAAAGAAGGAAACAGAAGAAAGCAGAGCGTCGCGGGCGTCGAAGTCGGCGTGTCAGCAGAATCGAGCGCTGGGGCGAGACTGACTCGACAAGGTCGCGGGCGGCCTCTTATCTAGAGTGAGTCAGTATCTCGACGATTCGGCGGAGAAGGTTCGAGCGTAGCGCGCTGGGGGCGAGAATGAACAAGCACTTTCTACAAGTCCGTGACCCTGCGCGCGGCATTATCCCCCCCTTTAAAAAGTGCATCGTCCCGATGCAGCACAAAACGAAAAACAACAAACAAAAACAAATCCAAAACAAAAAGGCAGCAGAATCGCGAGCCGCAGTTCACAGTTCACCCGTCGACGAGAGTGGAAAGTTCTATCGTTCGTAATACGGCTTCAGCCGGACGACGTGCACCACCTCGGGTCGCGGCTGACGTCTTGCGGATGGGCGCGTTCCGTCGGGGAGGACTTCGTAGTTAAGATCACCGAGGCGACGAAGCACTTTGTAGGGTCCAAAGTATCGTTTCAGCAATTTCTCACTGAGGCCGCGGCGACGGATGGGCGTCCATACCCACACCCTATCTCCGGGCTGGAAGTGGACGTCCCTGCGACGAAGGTTGTAGCGGCCGGCGTCGACGCGTTGCTGGTCTTGAATCAGGAGTCGGGCGAGCTGGCGAACTTCTTCGGCGCGTTGAGCAACCGCCTGGGCGTCGTCGCTCTCGTTGTCAGATGGCTCATGGGGCAGCATGGCGTCCAGCATGGTCGTTACCTTCCAACCATGTACCAGCTGGAAATGGGTGAATCCAGTGGTCTCTTGAACCGCCGTATTGTAGGCGAACGTGACGTAGGGCAGCACCTCGTCCCACGTCTTGTGCTCTACGTCGACGTACATAGAGATCATATCGGCGATTGTCTTGTTGAGTCGCTCCGTCAGCCCGTTGGTCTGCGGGTGGTACGCAGTTGTACGACGATGGCTGGTGTGACTGAGTCGGAGGATTTCTTGGGTCAGTTGTGCCATGAACGATGATCCGCGATCTGTAATCAGAACTTCTGGAGCGCCGTGCCGGAGGACGATGGACTCAATGAAAAACTTGGCAACTTCCACAGCAGTCCCCGAAGGAAGAGCTTTCGTTTCGGCGTACCGCGTGAGATAATCTGTGGCGACGATGATCCAGCGGTTCCCCGACGTGGAAGGCGGAAAAGGACCAAGTAGATCCATTCCGATCTGCTGGAAGGGTGCAGTTGGAGGAGAAATAGGCTGCAGGAGTCCGGCCGGCCTCGTCGGAGGTTTCTTGCGTCGCTGGCACTCGTGGCATGATCGTGTGTACAGGTGGACGGTCTTGGGGAGCTTGGGCCAGTAATACTTTTCACGAATACGGGCCAGTGTCCGGCTGTATCCAAGGTGTCCGGACGTCGGGTCGTCGTGACATGCTTGAAAGATCTCCCCTCGAAGGTCGGTCGGTATTACCAGCAGCCACGGCGAGTTGTTGTTCCCGAAGTTCTCTTTGTAGAGTACACCTTGCCGAATGGTGAAGGTCGGCACGGCTCGTGAGAAAACACGGGGTACGGTACCGCCGCGCCCTTCCAGGTGCTCGATTAAGGCTCGCAGCTCCGGATCGTCTCGTTGACGTCGTGCCATGTCATCGGTGTTCACTGCCCCTAGAAAGCACTCGTCATCATCGTCGTCGCGGCTGCCGGAAGGTGTTTCGACAGGGGCCCTGGACAGGCAGTCAGCGTCGCTGTGCTTGTGTCCTGACTTGTAAACCACAGTCATGTTGAACTCTTGTAGCCGGAGGCTCCATCGAGCGAGGCGCCCTGACGGGTCCTTGAGATGGGATAATGCCGCGCGCAGGGTCACGGACTTGTAGAAAGTGCTTGTTCATTCTCGCCCCGAGCGCGCTACGCTCGAACCTTCTCCACCGAATCGTCGAGATACTGACTCACTCTAGATAAGAGGCCGCCCGCGACCTTGTCGAGTCAGTCTCGCCCCAGCGCTCGATTCTGCTGACACGCCGACCTCGACGCCCGCGACGCTCTGCTTTCTTCTGTTTCCTTCTTTATTTTTGGCACAAGTTCGCCAGATTAAACGTTTATTTATTTCTGTTTATTTCTTGCTTATTGGTCACGACTCACCACTCGTGACATTCTGGTGGAGGTGCGGGGTACCGCATGCCCGTGCAGCGTTCCCCTCCCAGGAACCGCAGTGCAAGCCCGACTCCAAGCTCGCTGAGAAGACCACTATGCGCGGAACCTGAAACTCGGACCAGCCGCCGCACCAAGGGAGAGGATCCGGAGTACGGTTTGCTCCTGGATAAACCCAAGCCGAAGAAGACGACGATGGACAACCAGTCGCAGGCCCCCGCCGCTCCTGCCGTCGTCTACCTACCCGTCGCTCCTCGGACACCGGCTCCGTTCCACGGCGAACTCCACGAAGACGTTGAAGATTGGATCGACCAATTCGAACGCGTCGCCCGCCACAATAGCTGGACCAACGAGCAACGGCTGCAAAACGTGTATTTCTCGCTCGAGGGGACTGCCAGAAGCTGGTACGAAAATCACGAGTCTTCATTGACATCCTGGGACATTTTCAAGAGCCAGCTGAAGGAGACATTTGTCAACCAGCACCGCCGAGAGAGAGCCGAGGACTCACTGCGTACCAGGACTCAAGGCCCCAACGAGAGCATCACCGGCTTCGTGGAGGATGTTCTCCGCCTAAGCGCCCGCGCCGATCCTCAGGCTACCGAGGAGAAGAAGCTGCACCACCTGATGAGGGGTGTGAAAAGCGAGATTTTCGGCGGTCTCATCCGGAATCCCCCAACAACAGTCGACGAGTTCCTCACGGAGGCGACAAATATGGAACGGGCCTTGCTACCCCCGCACCTCCACCAGAATGTCACGAGTGGTGAGTCGTGACCAATAAACAAGAAATAAACAGAAATAAATAAACGTTTAATCTGGCGAACTTGTGCCAAAAATAAAGAAGGAAACAGAAGAAAGCAGAGCGTCGCGGGCGTCGAAGTCGGCGTGTCAGCAGAATCGAGCGCTGGGGCGAGACTGACTCGACAAGGTCGCGGGCGGCCTCTTATCTAGAGTGAGTCAGTATCTCGACGATTCGGCGGAGAAGGTTCGAGCGTAGCGCGCTCGGGGCGAGAATGAACAAGCACTTTCTACAAGTCCGTGACCCTGCGCGCGGCAATATACACTAAAAAATATCAAAGCTCAAACACGGAGCTATGTTTGAAACTTTTTAGTGTATATGTCGTTCATTTACCTGTGGTCTCTGGAATTACTTTTATTTTCGCGGCAAACCGCACGCACGCATGACGTCGCGTTTTTTCCGGAAGAGTCGTCATTTCCTGTTGATTTTTTGTTCCGCCGGAAATGTCCCCACGACTCATAGATGGCGCTAAAGCAGCCCCATGGGCCGCCATTTTTTTCGACATGTGGGCTTCTATGGAAGCTTCGCTACCCATGTACACATACCTTGCTAGATCTTTTTTTGTTTTGCGAGTCATTTTAGCGTGTAAATGTTGTTAACACTATATTATGATAAAAAAAAAACTTTAAACGCGCAATCTGCATGATGCAATTGTCGCAAGCTGGGTTTGCACATGTTTCTTGCGCTACGTAGAAGAGCAGCATATATTGCTCTCATTCGGTTATTCTTCGAGTGACTCTCGAAAGGCAAGAACATTTTTTAATTTATGTGCAGTTACTTGAACAGTGTAAAGTCGGGCTAACCAAACACTTCTTGAACGCGATTCAAAAACAGTGCCCATTAACCGCCGACATCAGGATTTTTTTCTTCCTTTATTTTTTTTTTTATTTTTTCTAACGGCTACTCGGCAAATCACCTACAGTATGTCCGTGAAAGACATGGTCCCTTCCAGCACCATGAGGCCTGAAGAGTACGCGTTGAACAATGAACTGCAGCGGAAAG